TAAAGGATTATGTTGTTGGCAGCGTTTTGCCATTTTTTCCAAACTACATGAGTCACCCTTTAAATCTGCACCACAAAGCTCTGTTTGACAAACACTAAGCCAGATCTGAAAGTGATTCTACAGCAAACATCTATTTCGGATGCCTTTGTTAGTGTCACATCACATGAGAAAGGCCACAAATGGCTTTTTCAAGCTTTTTTCTATTTTTCTATGTCAGATTCGGATGCTCTACCCAACAAAATCCCTCCGGTTGTTCTAGAGGAATGAATTTATTCCAAATGGTGTTTTATTCCTGGTGAAATTCCTGTCTTTTTTTCATATTATTTATCACATAAAAACAAATGATTGCAACAGTTCCAGCATCGTGCAGCTGCTTTATTTAAAAAAAACATTTTAAAATGGATTTCTTTTCAATGCAGCATCCATCACCCCAGTCGCTCTACAATGATTTATTATTTCCAAGTAGTTTATCAAGTCATGTGGTGAAAATTTGCATCATGTATTGCAAAAAAAACAAAATATCAGTTTGTTTCAGTGTCATGCCGCCTATTTTGTAACTTTTAAGCCTCCAACAGAAGATGTTGCATGCTCAACAAGCTTGTCACTACACCTAAATCTGCACACATTTCTGATCACGTCATTTGCTTTGACCTTAAAAATCGTCCGTTTGAACCGCTGGTGTGACCGCGTCTGCACAGGAATACAAACCCAGAAAAAAATATGGCAACAACTCTAAAACATAATGTCACAACTACACTTTTTGTACATACGGAACATTATTTAGTCTGTACAACAGAATAGATCATTCATTTAAATATAATATCACCAAAGCCCCCCACCCCTCACCACCCCTCCACCCACACCCCAAACTTTGTCATACTTTAATGGGCAACCTAGAGAAACGCCACAGCTCAGAAATCCTGCCGCTCACAAAGAAAAACACCACATTAAAAAGAATTACAATCCAGCCAGCGTTTGTCCAGCCGTCCGTCCGTCCGTCTTCGCTCGAGTCATTACATCCCGCAAGGAAGTCGTGTTTGTGTCGACGAGTGTGTGTTCTGTTACTCTTATGTACATGTGGGAAGAAATGGAAGAAAGAGAAAGCAGGAGAAGGGGGATGTCTGTGTGTGTGGATCGACAAACATCACTGTCTTAAGGCTTCTTTTTTTCTTTTTACAACTCTTCCGAGATGCGTTTGGTCTGGTGAGGTGGACTCTTTACTGATGCGGCCGGAAGTGGGGGGGTAGGGGGTGGTGGGTTAGGGAAGGGAGGTAAGGGAGGGAGGGGAAAGGTGTCCTCTGTCTTTTTCTTCAGTTTCAGACTCTCTCGGCGATGGCGAGCCGCGAGTCGGCCGGTCTCCGAGAGCCGCCGAGGTTAATAGTTATTATGGATGATCCCTGGTGGCAGAGACAAGTCAAGCCGTCACACATGTGAGGAGGACACAGACCCACCGAAAGACCCCCGAGGACACAGAGAGTGACACAAGGTAGGGACGACAAAAGCTACATCTGCTACTTATTGTAAAATACTGATCAGGTTTTGTTTTTTTTTTAACTGAAAGAGCCATTCCCGGTATACAGTACAAAAGTTAGAGGCAAAAAGTAGATCTGTTTTCTGTTTTTCTCTCCTAACTAAAGGGCAAAAGTTAGCAGCGCTCCTCTGTTTAATGACCTGATTACTGCTAGTCATGCAACAGCTACCGCTCCTTAAGGTTGTTCCTGTGTCCTGTTGCTGGCGGCCGTCTTTGTTTTGTCTTTGCCGGGGGGGCATTTAGAGTCATTGGGCGGGGGCTGGTTGGGCTTGCTGCTGGGGGCATGCTTGGTGGGGGAGCTAGGCGTGGCGGGGGCGCCGGGGGAGTGGGACGCTTGGAGGTTCTTCTCGTCTGAAAAAAGCTGTTTAATTACGTCAAAGAAGTTACTCAACGGGCTGCCTACACAGACGGGAAGAAAAGAAACAAACAAGAGAAGAGAGAGAGAAAGAAAGAGAAAGAGAGAGAGAACAAACAACAGATGAGCAATGGGGTTAACGTGAGGAGAGGAGGAGATGATGGAGGGATGAGAGGAGGAGTGGAGCCGGAGAAAAGGAGACTCTTAACGCCGAGGAGGAGGCGAGGGGGCAGGAAGGTGGAGGGAGGACGGAGAGGATGGGGGAGGAGGTAGCAAAACATCCAGGGTTCTTCCAAAACACATTATTATTATTATTGTTATTATTTATGTCACTGGTAATGTGGAGGGCAGCTCAGAGTCTCAGTTTCTCCTGCTGGATGGAGAGTCAACGGGAGCGCTGGAAGACTTCTCACATATTACTCACAGGACAAGAGCTGCAAGTCAGATTGAAGTCTCCTCTGAGCGAGCTGCAGGGTTTACACGAGGACTTTTTAAGAATACAAAACAGAATTTACACTGGTCAGAGCAGGACCAAACTGGGATGGTTAAGACCGATCACCATTTCCAGAATTTCACTGAAGTATACAAACTAAAGTCCAGCTATTCCTATTCAAGGACTGGCAGAAACCTCTACAAACAGAAGCAACAACACATTTCTTGATTAACTTTTTAAAAGGTTTTAACTGAGGATGTGTGTGATTAGTCACCTTACAATTAAACGGTCGTACTACTTGTTAGTCCGCATTTGAAACCCTCTGAACTTTTTTCACATTTTTCTTTACTGTGGACTCATTTTTCACTTTGACATAAAGTCCTGTGCCTCTATGGAACCCTGACTAGTAGTAGAGAGAACTGAAAGTCTTCACACAGTTATAGTGCCATAAATGATACAGAAAAACAAGTTGAAGTTGTTTGTATATATTTCCAAGTGTCTACAAGGTGTTACCAACACTGGAACAGACCTAGAAGCTCAAGTACATGCTTTAGATATTTTACTTTACATTTATAGTTTTATTTGTTTTCATATTGGTCTCCTCTGGCTGGGAGTAAACACAGCCTGCAGTTAATCTGAAAACTCACAGCTCTGTCACTTATGACTGTATTTATTCATACAAAATTGGTGCCAAAGATTAATTTTTGGCAAACTTTTTAATGAGAAGTGCAGAAAGAAAGTAATTTTAAGCTTAGACTTGGTTAATTTTCCTGACAATACATATTTAATTCAAGAACCACTGGAAAGGTGAAAACTCTTAGTTTTATTTTATAGTTTCCTGCTAATAAATATTGTCATTTACAAAACTAATTTTAAACTTGTGCATAAATTGCGTGGTTAAGAGTGTTAAATTGATTTAATTTCTTAGCAAAATAAATTCACAATAAATAAATTCTCTGATTGCAGCTTTTTAAATGTGAATATTTTTGAGTTGTCATTTTATACTCTGTGAAACAACTTTTTCACCATCTTGTGAGGCTTTATAGACCAATAAACACATCAATCAATCAAGAAAATAACGACAGACGAATTGGCAATAAAAGTTACGGCAAGGACAATAAATGAAATCCTTAAGGAACACCTCGACCTTATTAACAGGATGTTTTACTGTCAGCTTTTTGAACCCTGGTTCTAGTCTGTATTATTCACATTTTAGTTAGTAGAGCCTTTAAAAGTAGTAGAATGAGCTCCTGTTAAAAACGTAATGAATCTATAAGTGGCTTTTTAAAAATCTCTTATTTCAGAGCAGGTTTATTTGTGTTTTGAATCAGCCGTCCTCCTCTGTCACATTTATTCTGTTCAAATGGGACTTTAGCGGCACATGGTTGGTGTCTGTTGGCAGCTAAACATCTAAAGAAGACTAATGATGTCTGTTTTTGCTTGTGTTCATTCATCATAAACTGACTTGAGCAGCCTGGTTTGGTCTTAATCCTTCAGGGTGGCAGTCAATCCATAAGAAGTTTTTGGTACGTCTCTGCTCCACCTCTGATTGTGTTACTTATCTCCTCGAGTGTGTTCCGTGTTTCACACTTTTTCAGGACTGAATGAAAGTCTTCCAAAGCTCCCGTTAACTCGCCATCGTGTCAACATCCATCACAACAACATCCATCCCATAAAACAAAGCTTCTCTTGGTAAGTGCTTCAAAACAGTCATGAATGAATCCGACATGCAACAGTACAGCACAGTACACACATTAATACACTCATCATTGCCCAGGTTAGTCTTCAAACAGTGCGTCCTGCAGTGATACAACATCTGTGTTTTGGTGCTGAGGTGATAACTTACCATCAGTCCTCTCCAACAACACTCACATTTGCTTTTTTGTGTCTCTTTAGTTTGTTCCGGTGATTTCAAATATGGAAAGTTTTAGAGCAGCGGGGGAACAACCCGGTATCAAGCATCGACATGCAGAAGTCAGTTTAGAGCCACACACACAAACACACAGTGAAATATTTCCTCCTATCAAGTCATTTAGTCTCCAAACAGAGCTTTTAAAGGACAAATCTGCCCTGAAAACATCAGCAGAACAAGTTCAACGGGTCAAGTGGGCCGTTAACTCAACAAAAAGAGAAACTATTTAAATAATTATGCAGTTAAAGAGCTACAAAAAAAAGTCTTTCAGATGTGAGAATTTGCTGCTTTTCTTATCAGAATGGTCTTTTGACTTAAGAAGTGTTGGCTGGATACTATTCAGTCTTTTCTGATATTTTGTTGATCAAATTATTAAAAGATTAATCAAGAAGATCATCAGTAGATTAACTGAAAACCCAGAAGACTCAGCTCAGTGACAAAAACCTTGAACTCAAGTGTGCTTAATATATTTTTGTTTTTAAACTGTGATGTGTGACTGGAAACTTATCAGACTGCAAATTCAAAGATGAAAAACAGTTTGTCAAATATCATAGTTTCTATTCTGGTGGTACCATTTATATACTTATAACAGCTTGTTTTCATAGTTAAGCATTTTCATAGAGCTCTAACACTGACTTAAGCAGAGTTTCCTCCATTCTTTATTCTCATTTCAGTTTTTCCTTTCCAAAGAAAAAGATCTTTAAAACTTCCTAACACATAAACAAAGGACTCTCCCCAGTATTGTAGGAAAATGATATATTATTTATTCTTTTTGTATTTAATTAAGAATTCATAGTTGGAAAATGAAAAAAAAAAAGTATTTTGTTATTAGTTTATGGACCTAGCGTGCACAAAAAAGTTTTCTTACTTTGCTTCAGTTGAAAACTTGAATTAAGAAAATGGATCAAACTTAATTTTGAGAGTTAATCATTTTTATTTTTATTTTGTTTATGTGATTTGTCAGTTACTAAAACATACCCTGCTTCTTTGTCTCTGGGTTCTTTATTTAGATGAAATATTAATTGTGGTGCTTCCCTGTAATTTAAATTTATATTCTCGATGCAATTTTTAACTTTGCAGAATTACATCCTGTAATATTTTTGTAATTGCATTGCCTCACCAGCAGGTCTAAATGTGCAGTAAAATTGCTATAAAACGGGGTCACTTTGGCATCAAGTAGGAGTTACGTCGGGTACAGTCGCTCTGCAGGACAGCTAGTGCAAAACACACGTACCTCCTCCTGAGGAATAAATCCAGTCTGAATAGAGCATTGGGTTTTTTGTTCAGTGCCACCAACAGGCCAACTGGTCCCTCAAAGACCCCAAAAATATCAAAAATGTGCTGCTTAGTTTGTCCTAAATGTGTGTGTTTTCCAGTTTTCTGTAAAAATCCCAACTGATACACTTTTAAAAAATCACTACTTGTTGATTTCCTCACGTTGAAATGACTTGTTAAGACGACGTTTCGCTGTATTTCACGCTCTCTCTCTCACACAGTGTTAGTGCAGACAGGGTGTGTTGGTGACAGGCCTCCACGACGTTGGCAGTGTGTGTTAAAAGCCAGAGTTAAGGTGTTTTTGCCGGGAGCTCCCGGTCGCTCTGGGTCTTACCACGCTTGGAGGATTTACTGGGCAAAGAGGCTGAGCGCTGAGAGCCATCTGAGAGCAGAGGACAGTGTCAGAAACACTGAGGCCCAGCACTTGATGAACACGTGAGCCGATACCAAGCATCAGCCACACACCGGCTAACACAGAACACTCCCTCCTGACGCGACTCCACACACGTGAATGTTCAGCTCGTTTTACAGAATCTCTCTTTGGACAGATTTTCTTCATGCTTTGCTTCCACTTTCTAGGTTTTACTCGCTGCTTGGTCTGTCTACAGACAAAGTGTGCCAACTTATCTTACAGATTTCGCACAGTAAGTTACATTATAGGCCAGATGTTCTGTCTAAGTGGATCAGCTTGTCTTGTTAGCAGCCATGTTTGAAGAAGGCAAAGCAAGGGGAAAAAAACTATGTAATTAAAAAGCTGTATTCCTCAGGTCAGCTGGTCGATTGGTTGGTCGATATGCTCTCATTAATCACTGGTGTTACTTTCATAAAGGGAAGGGCACTAAATCCACAGCCTTCCAGGATTGATCCATTATTTTTGGCAGCGAGAGGAACCGACTACATGTGAACAAACTCATGCTTTCACATCTTTGAAATGGTTGTGTTTACTCAGAGTCGGCTCCAAACGAATCATGTCAAAGAAGTCCCCGGGCTGCTGCGTTTTGTTCAAACTAATGGTTGAAAAGTCGAGAGTCAACATTTGCAAACAGCAGCTTAACAACTCAACAGCTCAACATCATCTATTCCTCAGTAGTTCTTGTGCTGGAATCACCAGTTGAAACAGTTCTATTTTCAGAACTCTTAAAAATATGTGCAAGTCCAGGCTGTTATCCTTTTGATATAAAATAACCAGGTTCGAATGATCTAATATGCAGCAAATACTGGCTTTTTATGTTGATTTACAATCTATTTAGCTAGTAGAGCTAGCAGGTAGCATGCACTCACTGCTCATATTAGTTCATCTATAGATAGCGTCCATATTAGTTGAGGAGTTGGTAAGATTTTCGTCTACAGAGATTTTCTTTCTAATTTGTTGTTTGTTAAAAATGTCCCCAGATTCAGTCCGTTCAAGCTCTACAACTATGAGGACAAAATGAAAAACAGACGGGTCAGAACTGTAATATTAGTTGTTCAAAACCCTCCCTGTCTGTTGTCCAGTGTGTTCTCAGTCAACAAACTTTCCACCATGTTAATAAAATACACAAATTTATGTTCAGTTTTGTTTTCATTCAGGTTTAACTGGCACTCGTTTAATTGCATCACCTCGACACTCCTCTTCTTCATCACTGCTATAATGACATGGAAATGTGCATAAATTGTCAGATTTTCTGAATGTAAAGTCAAAATGTTACCAGATTTGGATGGAAAACAGGTATTCAAGCTGTCCTAAACAATGCTGCTTTAGTTTTAGTCACAGTAGTATTAGCATTAGGTGGCCTTGTGTACACGATTGTGAGCTTCTCAAAACAGCAGCTGGGGTCGTGTTTTGGGTAGAAACTGCTAAATGCTGTCCTCACTGTTGTTATAAAACCGTAACCGTAAGTTTTCCTGGCAACAGAGTTTCCTGAAAACAGCATTTAACGCTAGCTTTGGTCCTGCTCTCGAAACAAGAAGTCCAGGATGGTGAATTTAGCCTCTCTGTAACCACTTAGCAACCAGATATTTTAGCAAAAAGACTCTGAGAAACAGGCTGAACATCCACAGCGGCAGATATTTTTTCCTTAAAAATCCATCTGCCACTGACTAAACATGTACAACCTCATATATAAAGACACACACAGAAGGCCAACAGGGTCACATGTCTGTCGAGCTGTTGGGTGTTTTAGTACATTTCATTGAACGCATGCAGATTGTCAGACTGCAAAGACATCAACAAACACCGTCACATACTCTGTTTGCTCGCTCGTGTCGCATGCTTCAGTACAGTTCAGTCCCGAGTGCGAATGGCAGCTCACCCAGAACCATCGGCACACACAGATCTCTGACAAACTGAACCCAAAGGCCGGTTTTTACCCCGAGGCCAGTTTGTCACATTGTGTGTGTGTGCGCTTTTGTGTGTGCGTGATTCTGGGTTTTCATTCAGCATGCGAGTCATTCAGTCCATCCAAGAGGCGTTAAGCTGTGGATGACGAGAAGCAGGGTGGCATGGAGAGGCAGGCCAGAGAGAGAGATCAGATAGATAGATAGAGATGTGGGTTATTGGCACATCTACACGGTGGTTTGGTGGCTGAGGTTGTGCAAACAGTGCCTGATAACAGTTCCCATCTGTGGCAGGTCAGACTGGTGCTACTGGGTCAGTTAGTTGAAGAGCTTCCAGCTAGTGTAGTGGGTGTGCTGGTGTTCTCCCAGTCTGTGGTCTTGTGTGCGCGCTAAGAGTGACGGCAGTGTTTGGGTTGCAGTTGCTCTGCTTCACCACCAGAGGGGACCATTATCAAGTAAATAACCACAGATAGGACGACAGACAGAACTAACAAGGACAGCCGGAGAACACACAGTCACTCGTTCTTTTCTTCCATATTTTCCATCCATATATAGGCAGCCCCGAAGATGTCCAATCATGTCCAGGGAGAGCTCAGAGAGAATTGTGGGATTGTTTCGACGCTACAAATTCTCAATGTGTTCTGATACATTTCGCACTTTTTGAGACCAAAATGCTGCATGCACAGATGTAACGGCTAATCCACACGTGTAGAGCTGTGTAAATATTCATTAGCTTGACCCACTGTGTGTGTGTGTGTGTGTGTGTGTGTGTGTGTGTGCTTGTGCGTGTTTTCTGCTGAGTCAGGGTGCAGTGTGAGAGCTGAGCTGCTGTCTGTGGAGGATAAATCACCGTCTGATGTCCTGAGTGGCGATAATCAGTGCTGTGAGTGCACATCTAGAGCTCACTGGACTGCATGTGTGTGTGTGTGTGTTTGTGTGTGTGTGTGCACGCCATGGTATGTGGCAGGGGCATGCACGTGGAGATGCCGTGTGCTAAAAGCAGTGTGCCGAGCTGAGCTGAGCCGAGCGGGTCCGAGCCGAGGTGGGCCGTGGGGTGTGGCTGTGCTGTGATGCCAGGAGGGAGGAGGGAGGGGAGGGAGGCTGTGAGGAGGAGGGTTGGGGGTGTAGGCGTGGTCGGGGGACGGGTGGCGAGGGGAGTTCACTTACCAGAGATCTGCGGCTGGATGCCGGGCTGGTCGTTGGAGCTGAGCAGCTGGGCCTGGATGGTCTCAACCACACGCTTGAAACGTCGGCTGGGACCTGATGAGAAACCAGTGACACCTTGTTGTAACACACATTAGTCTATAAACCAGCAGCGGGGCAAGAAGTGGCAGGACAGAGAAGTATTCATTAATGCGTTCATTGTGTTACACTAACTGTGCATTCTCCACCTCTGTTGTAGAGATTTGGGAAAATGATGAGTCACACTGATGCAAACAGGTGCAACCTCCCTGCAGCTCCCCAGAAAACCTGACTTCACAAGACCCACTTTCTGGAAACTCAGCAGCTTAATGCAAAAACAAATGACTCCGTGGTCCATTAAGAGGACGATCGCAGGTCATTTCCATCCTGGAAAATCAAGTGGGGGAAAAAAAGCGGCACCCAGCTCTCCACATGGTGAGTAAAAGATTTAATGCGCTAGATGTGTTGTTTGCTGCAACCTCTAATGCTACATGCTAAACAGAGAAACAATCCACAGCATCCACAACATGTAAACAAACAGGCTGCGTGGATGAATTTGCTGGTGATATGGAAGGTAGTGCAGTTACCAAACCAGTCTCGAAACCAGTGTGCATACAAATCAGGTGTGTGCATGTGATACAGGATTAGAACAGTGAGTGGTTGTCATGACGTTCTGTCCCACCATCATTTTTGGGTAAAAAAAAAAAAAAAAAAAAAGATTTTGACTCACATCTAGAAGATGAGATAAGTTTTATTGTATAAAACTTATTTTAACCAACCATTTATTACATGTGGTGTTATGAGCCCTAAAAGTTTACCCAAAACGCACTTTTTAAAGTTTTCTCACATCAATTATCAGAAAATTTGTTTTAATGACTCTAATAAGCATTAAACTGGTGATGTTTGGCTACTTGCAGTTTGAAACTATAATATATCTCATGATATTGATGCTTAAAGTTGGTTATAGAAGATTAAAGCTTCAGAGTGTGACACCTGGAGGGGACGAAAAATTGAAAAATTGATTTGGTTGCAGTTTTAAGTCGAACTCAAATGTGTTATTCAGTCCTGAAAAGTTATGAGGGCTCAAAAATGCTGACAAAAGTTACGCAAATAAAAAAAAAAAAAGAAATTTCGACCCACATTCGTATCCTTTGAGGGACTGTAACTCTGTAAATATTCATAGTATGACAGTGGCTTTATTAAGTATATTAAAGTTGCTGTCCATAAAACAATCTGCTGATTCTGAGGTCAGGTGGGAACTTTTTTTCAGATTTGCTTGACTTTATATGTAATGACCCAGCTGCTTGTCTTCAAACACTGCTCTCATCTCCCTTCATCACCACTGAGGTGGATTAGACAAATCTGCAACGTGATATTAGCGTTTAATCGCGCTAACCTTGATACAGCCAGAATACCAGGATTATGTATGTGAACACAATCATAGTGAGGAAAATGTCACTTTGGTGGAGGTAATAACTTACAGGAGCCACAAATAGACTCTAAATCACTGGTTTAATTTATGTTAATGCATATAATCAGTTACAAGACACAACGCATGTTTACTTTTGTCCTAATCAGAAAAATAACTGCTATTTAAAGATGTTTGTGAATGTGAACTTAACTGAGCAGCACCTCACTAATTACACTGAAATATTCCCTGACAACGTTGGAGCAGTTCTTCAAGGTGAGGCTATTAAGTAGTCGGATGGATTGAAAAGAAAAAGGAGCGCGGTACTGAGCTGAGAAAGTTCTTGTTGGGCTCATTTTTATGCTACGTGGGGAGAAGATTAAACATTCATGATGTGGCCTTGTTCAGGCACCTCAACATTTCAGGGCTCTGCTCCTCATCACTGAATATTGTAGCTCTGCTCATTCATGTTTTAT